ATGGTAAGTTGTTTATTGTAGTCAGACGTTATATTTATCTGTGGAATTAATGTTTAATTATTTTCTTGGAATGAGTATGAATTGACATAGGAAATAAATAAATAATCGTATAAATATATATTAAAATAGTAAACGAGGAACATACCAAGAGGTGTTGTGTAGAGTAACGTGCGTCTGACAGCTGGTGAAGAGAGTCTGTGTCTGGTGTATGTATGTTGTTTGAGGGTTATTTATATATAAGTGAAAGAATTGTTTTTTGTTTATTGATTTCAACGCAGTTTATTTTTTGACTAATAGAACATGTGTCAGGAATAGGTTGAGTGACGTTTCGAACACCCAGTATTTATTTCGAGACTGGATTCAACGAATCCCGGAATATTTCCGTGAATGTTGGTCACAGACAACCCCCTTTCAAAATTATCCTTTACATATGATTCATGATCACATATCCATGTTATTCATCGTTATGTAACTTGCACAGTGTTTTTAAGTAAATTAGGAATCTGTAGTTACTTTGCACGTATCATTCGGTTAATTATCAGCTTTTCAAAATATAGGCCCTGATTTAATTTGATAATAGCAAAAATTTTATTTGTGGTTAAAAAGTGACACTGGGGTAGATTTTTCTATGACGGAAAGCTACTTGGATTTCCTGGAGCCATTAATCATTGAACTACATTTTACACTCATCTGTGATCTTAATATACAACGGTTAATATAACAGGAAAACTTGACAAGTGTCTTACAGATAAATAATTAGCTCCAAAAATAAGTCCTTCAGAAATTGACAATCATTCTACTGAAAAAAAATCCTCCGCCTTCTATGGAATACTAAGCTTCATCATAATTTTCTCGGCACGGTAAATCCCATCCTGAACACGTTAAGCAGTTCACACATTCACACTATATATCTTTCTTCTTTAAATTAGGCCACGACCGCTTCCTTCCACGTCATTTCCAATTCATCTATTTACTGTAATCCTCTCATTCGACACTATATAGTCTTAAATAAACTATAAATGAATAAATATTCTTTGTAATATTATCCTAGTCTCTCCCAAGTGATTCCTTTACTTCGTAATTTCTGAATAATATTTTATATTAATTTTATCATCTTTCCCAAGCGTGTTATGTGTCCCGCCCATCTCATTATGCATTGATTCTAACACCTTGATCATTTTTGTTGGAGAACAAATTATAAATCTTCTGTTCTGTACTCTCCTGTTAGTTCTGTTTCGTATGTCCGAATACTCGGTGTCATTATGTGGTCTCTTTTATTAGATCTTGAGACTTAGTTTCACATTCATATGAAACAAGAGAGATTTCAGAGTATCACAGCGGAGAATATGAAGTAGACAGCCTTTGGAGGCAATGTTTTAACTTAGACGTATTCTTCGAATAATTTTGTCAACTGTTTATGCTGTTATTTCGTCATGCGTTCGAGTTATGGGACATTGAAGATTTGTCAGCGTTTGATTATAATTTATTTATATTATATCAAATAAAGTAATATTAACGAAGTTCTGAGATGTATACCAATGTATATTCCAGGTGATACCGTACCGAGGTGGAGACTTGCAAGATGATGACGATTCTTCAGAAAATGAAGATCTCGCACTACAGATCCGTGCGGATCTGGATGATCTAAGACCCCGATTTTCAACGCAGAGAAAACTAAGTCAGATTCAGAGACGCGAAGGAGGACCCGTGAAGCTGAACAAATTACAAAGGGCCACTCGCTCCGAGCGTAGCATTGTTCGCGCCAACCGACGACTCCGACGCCCACCGCCGCCTTGTCCTAGGCCGCCTCTTGTCAAGACGGCCAGCAGACAGTCCCTTCACAGTCGCCGTCACCTGGCCAACATGCTCGCTTTTCAGGTACAGGCAGAACATCGCCACATCGTGCGAACATCTGACCGTAACTTATTCCTTTTTGTCTCCCGTAACACTTTTCATGCTGTACGTGAGATAGGTTGATTAAAAGTCTTTACCTCCGAGCGGTGAGCTATATGGATTATTAAAACAGGTAGGAAGGCTTCCGCTGTCACAACCCCGAGTTAACTCCCGAGTCTATTCTGGCGACGTAGTTTGATAATTTGCCGCTAGATGGAAAATCCGACAATCGATCTACACACAGTAAACAATTCTATCGATTGCTCCACTTGAGATATCGATGTTTTTGTGTGGTGAACTATACGGATTATTAAAACAGGTAGGTAGGCTAACATGGCTTCCGCTGTCCCAACCCCGAGTTAACTCTGAATTGAAATGTCGCGTCGTGTCCCACTCCCGAGACTATTTTGGCGACGTAGTTTGATAATTTGCCGCTAGATGGAAAATCTGACAATCGATCTACACACACAGTAGACAATTCTATCGATTGCTGCACTTGAGATATCGATGTTTTTGTGTGATCGTAATTTTTCTTGACAGCTGTCTTGTGAACAAGGCTTCAAGTATGACTGAAGATGAGATTTTAGATGTTTTAAATAATGACAATGTGTCTTTTATGAAGACAGCGATTATGACTTTGCTATCGACGATACTGTCGAAAGCAAAGACGAAAGTGACGATACGGAAAGAGAGGAAGAAGATGACAACGACGAGGCTGCTCGAACTTTCCTAAAAAGAAAAGTAGACTGCTGCCACAAAATGTGATTCCACGTACAATACGAGTGAATGACACGAATTTTGTGCTACAGAAACGTGATTTTGACCGATCCCAGTGAGTGATTATAAACCTGGGTTGGGACATGCGAAAATTGGGTTAAAACTCGGGAGTTAAATGGTAATCTCTGGCCTTTTCATCTGTGCTAGCCACGGTCAGAATCAGAGTGAGAGAGACACTAGTGTCTTTGCGCAGGTGGCCATCTTGGCGGTGTGCTGGTTGCCGTACGTCGGGTGTGCGCTCTGCGTGGAGCTGTGCCCCTCCTCCGACATGGAGACAGCAAGTTCCCTGCTTCCATTTTGCTTGTTGCTGGGTCACGCACACTCCGCCATCAACCCGGCACTGTATTGGCTTCTCAACAGGCAGTCACTCCAGTTACCCGGTTGTGTTGGTTCACAGCATCGCCTGCTATCCGGAAAACTCCGGATATTCCGGCTACCGGACTTTCACCGCAATTCTGCCGCAGCTGCCCCTTCGTCAACCAATGAGGCCGCACTTGGACCTTTCCACCCGAGATATATCAACTTCAGACAACCTCAACCACAGCGTTTCCCCACCTCACACTTCCTACAGTAGTGAGACATGAATAAATGGTCTTGTTCGTCCTAATGATACCTCGAGGCAACTTCCTAATAAATATCATTGTTGTGTTTAGTCGAATGATTAGTGTTTGGAGTTACAAAAATTCTCCCTGTACCTTCACGACGCCCGTCTGTTCGAAATACGGACAGAGCTAGAACGGATGAACACGTTTTCATGTAGACTTGGTGGACATTTTTTGTAAAATTCGTTGACATTCCCATTGCACTTGACAAAATTACGTAAACGTGACGCTGGGGGCATATCGAACGTAACTCGCTCCATGTGTCAGTACGAAACATTCTTCAAATAAGAACACGAAAATATTTATTTTCTAACAAATATATTGATATTACGTAATAGTACTCATTTTTCACGATAATCTACGATTGGTGATATATAAATAACTAGCAGCGTGTCCACAGTGTTTCTGTATCGAAATCTGACAAATACTTACATTTACTATCGATACTTGGAAGCGTATCGATGATTCGATACTTACTTATATCGAAATCTGACAAATGCTTACGTTTACTATCGATACTTGGAAGCGTATCGATGATTCGATACTTACTTATATCGAAATCTGACAAATGCTTACGTTTACTATCGATACTTGGAAGCGTATCGATGAATCGATACTTACTTATGATCGAACATCGTGGAAAAAAAAATTATCTTCCGTAAACTTACGAATCTTTGTCGTTACATTGTCATCAGCACTGACGAGTTTCGAAGATTTGGTCAGAATTTTACCCGTCCCTGTCGCATGAATATAAGTACCACTTGGGCTCATTCTACCTTCTCAGGTTATTTTAGGTTACTCAGACTGTATTAGTGATATTCTTGAAATAAATAATGTTTCTCGTGGATTCTGTTGCAGCCTTTCTTAAATTTTTAACCCGGAGTCTCGTCACATTGCGTAGAAATAAATTATTCCCAAAAAGGAACAATTTTGACTTTAGAACTGTTGATTTATCATCTTCGATCCATTTGCCTTTAAACAGTCATTTACCACAGTCATATTTTAATGTATATAAAAACAATCTTCACCAGAGTTTGAGCCGAAGACATTTTTTAAGGTTATGGCATCATTAGTTCAGAAACCTCATTACTGGGACTCGAATATAGTACATATCTTCGGGTCTTTGCCCTCTGGTTCTGTAATCCCGTCGCCGGAAAAAATAATTTAGTCTCCAGTTCTTTATTTTAACGCATAGTTTATTTTGATTGATTTCTTTTAATTTTCTGAGTAGAGATTTTTACCTTTCAGCCTTAAAATTTCTATTTTTGTACAGTTCACTTTTCGGATGCCAGAGAACAGTAAACTTCAACAAATATCGTGATAATTGTCGTCTGTATAATTGTTTTCCTCGACTTATCCAGCGTTTAAATTATAGATAAAAACACGATTTGGAATTTAGATTCTCTTTCCATCGTCAGGGTAGAAGAGACTTTTTCCATACTGTTCCTTCTTTACATGAGGGTGGAAGCAGAATCCAGCTTCCAAAATATGATCTTATTTATAATTTAGATGACGAATAACTTTACAAATAATAATGTACCATTTTTAGAAACGTTCAGACTTCATGCCAATTGGTACTGTAACTTGAACACGAAAAATGGTAGCTCATGATTGCGTAAAAGTATCAGAACCTCTCGATATCATGCGAGATGTTTGTACAATCGATCGTGCGAGATGTGTGTACAATCGATAGTTACCACGCAGCGCTCGACCAATTTCGCAATCGTTTGCACATTCAGGCTGGTGTCAAAGATCCCGATACATAAATGGAGCTTCGAAATAAAACAATTTATTGCGGTAAAATCTTGTCGACGTGGGGAAATAAACGTTTTGGGGATTACCTCTGTTTCTATCATCAATGGATTGACGATGAATCACATTTGGTGTTGACCCGTCGTTAATCAATTTTACGTTAAACGGAGTATTTTTTGGTGTGACGTATACACGTTATATGTGGTAAGTAACATATTTAATAAAATACAAACTAAACATTATTTATGCATATGTTAAGTATAATATTTGTACTGTTTATTACGATTGAAAATAACAAAATTTGGTAGTCTGTGTAGTGTAATGTTTCTGCTGTTAATCTGATCAGGATATCTTGAATCCAGGTGCATGATTCTATATTAGTCTCTGCAATTAAATAAATCTAGCAAATGTTTTGCATACTGCAGAGAATGCTTTTGGAAGTCATTTAGTTAAAATCTGGGTAGGCACACATTTTTTTTCTGTTGTTTACTGTAATGACAAACACTCCATATTTCTCAATTATTTGAGAATTTTCATGATTTATATCGATATAGAACTCAAGTGCCCAGAATATGAAATTATCTTAAGAAGATTTTGGTCTTTGAGAATTGTAGATAATTACTACAAATTACATGAATACTAATTTTGATCAAATGAGTGTCCTTTTTGATAACTGGACGTGTTATAAACAAAGGTATCAGGTGGCTAAGTGTCCTAATTCGTAACGAGCTGGCAGCTATAGCAAAGAACGAGTGAAATTCTGACATAACCATAACACACGTCATAAATCACTGTCCTATCGACAATAAAATACACAAATGACAGTACTGTACATGTGCATAGTTATTTTACTTATTTTATCCTGACAATGCTGTTCTGATGTGAGAAATAAACTTTCCTATTGGTGACCAGTTTTGTTGCAACCAGTCTTATATCAATGTTTTCCTTTACTCCATATTCCATACCAGAATATACATAATACACCGATACGTTCTTTGCTACGTGCATTTAGAGGTTGTTCAGTAGTTCCCACTTTGGCCACCAGATCGCAGCACTTCACTGTCTACCGCTTGATTTCCTGACCCGCCATCACCACTCGGATATTCAAAAGTATGATTTTGAGGTTATGCAGAATGGCACAATATCCACATCAAATTGCATCCAGTTATGTCCAGTGGTTTATGAGTGGAATCGACTGACAGAGAGACACAACCATCTCATAATGTGTTCTCATTATGCACATCTGGCAAAGAATGCATAATAATATATAAGCAGTCATCAAACCCAAGGCCTGTAATCTTATGTAACTTATTTTATATTTTATAACAGCAGTTATGGTATCCTTATGCCCATTGACATATGATTGATGATACTGTAATTGAATATCATGCCCCAAATCAGATATACCAAGCCTTTTTAAGCATGCACTACACAAATTCTTGTGCAATGTCAGAGGCAAGAAATGTAGACAGACAGTTGCAGGAAGTATTTTTATGAGTGCACACCCAGACAGATAATTGTGATGCTCGTCCCATCAAGTCGGATCAACACATACTGGTTAAGTTTCCTTAACAGTGACACTGCCTAGAAAATTGACTATGTGTAGTACTCAGAAGTAGGCATAGTTTCGCTTTTGGAGCTATATTTTATGGATATATGAGCATGTTACATTGTTCCAGATCAATACAAAATATTTGCCAAGTTCACGAGATGGTGCATGTGGAATTAAAATTTACTCCAGCTCCATAAAATATTTTGTGATGAATAAATCTTGATTTATGTAAACTGTGTAAGTCATTTGTAAATATTACTTAGTTGTGATACTGGCCATTGGTTTAACGTTTCTTCCCTCTCTCAATTTAAGTCCTGGCATATGGCTTTATTCATTAAAATACAGGCATTGAGATCAAATTAATGCCAAGCTGTACACTGATACTTGCAGTGCCATCTCCTGTTGAAATTTTGAACATGCGCTTCTGATTCTAGAAACCATGGAAAAATATTGATTAGTATTTGGATGCAAGATTATTGGAATTAAGAAATCTTGTTTTAGAACAATAAAAAGTCTTTATGCGGCATTTTAAATAATAAACTTCCTCGCAATCATTCAGTTGCACAAATCATTTTTAAATAACATTGTGTATGTGAAATACGTTCATTATCACAGAACATCAAACGTTAACTGGAATACTTACTATTTCAGAGGCGTACAATATTTTATCATATAGAGAGTACAGCAATGTTCCAGGACAGGTCTCCGCTTGTCCGTATTAAAAGTAATGATATATGTATGGTGATTACTTCACACAGCTTTGTTTCTGTAACTACTTTTGACATGAGCGAAACCTCACCGATGTTGTGAACGTACCCAAGTGGGAGTGTCGATGACGTCATAGATCACGTGGTTTCAACCGGAATCTGGCACAAGCTGAGAGTTTATTGGCGTGGGTAACGGCCGTTGAATGGTAGTATTGTGTTCGACATATTCTTACAGAATTCAGTGCATTTTCACTTGAAAGTTACAACATGGCAACGAAAAGTAGCAAAAAATCAACTGTAACTTCGTCTTCAACTACAACTTCATCTGTACGTGATACGCACACTCCACAACCGAGCACATCATCGCCACAAGGGAGGCCTGGTAGCCCGTTGAGTCCTACCCGGTATAGCCGGCTTCAGGAAAAGGCAGATCTTCAAAATTTGAATGATCGTTTAGCATGTTATATAGATCGGGTGAGGCATTTGGAAGCAGAAAATAGCAGACTTACTCGTGAAGTACAATCGACACAGGAAACGGTTACACGTGAAGTGACTAGTATAAAATCTATGTATGAGAATGAGTTGGCCGATGCCCGGAAGTTACTTGATGAAACTGCACGGGAAAGAGCCAAGTTGGAGATTGACGTCAAACGATTATGGGAGGAAAATGACGACCTCAAATTCAGGTGAGATTTCTCATATATCAGATTGTTTCAGCAGAGTTGTAATGTTTACATTACGTAGACTTGCATATTGGACTCAGGTACATTGGAATTGTAGTTTGATCGTACTCATTAGATTGCTTGATGAGGAACGAACCGATGTTTTCCGCAAGCGCCCGTTACTTGGTGTTGCCTGTAACGAATGCAGAAAGTAGGTCATTGGTACAGCGGTTTGACCTTTCCTTGCCCATGCATAAAATTGATATAAGTTAAGCTTGAACAATGTACAGATAGTAAATTCGTGTATAGGCATTTGTAGGCATATCTTTTTTGTAATGGAAATAAGTATGGATTGATTTGTTTACATCAGTAACTACTAGCACATGCGAATGTTTGAAACATTATATGGCAGAAGTTAATTTCTTACAAGAAAGGAATATAAATGGAAAACCAGTTTTGATGTAGGGCATTCTTCCTTCTGCAGATTATATGTAAGAAAATCAAAACAAATGTAGTCCTTCATGTAGGCCTAGTTTGTTATTGTTCTTTGTCCAGTGCAAGTAGCATACACTTTGTATATTAAGTGGTTTATTCCAGGCATCATTATTGTTCATTATAGATTAGTACTTGCTAGATTCATTGCTCGTGACATTTTATAATGTATTTTCTCCATTGAAATATCCAGGAATGCTGTTGAAGTGCATTCATACTTTGTTAGTTAGGGACTAGGATCAAGAACTGAATGTATGTGGAGTAGCAGCCCCATTTTAAATGTTTTAAATTTTGGCATTAAATTGTTTACTAGGTAGCCATGACTGTTGTTAGTGGTTTGGAAAATATTCAGTAGTTTTCCCCTTTTTGAGTTTTAGAATCAGTGCATTTCTGTCACAGTCGAACTTCGCGGTATTGTGACCCACCATGAACACATGCATTTGGGTTTTATTTAGTCAAACTTTCAGCTTTGCAACTAAAATAAGGCATTGGTCTGTATATTATAAAGATACACTGAGAGAAATTTGTAGGTATTTTTTAATTTCGTGTTGATTCAATGTGTTTCTGTACAACGAATATAGAACAAACATTTGTCTTTAGAAAGATTGGTTGGTTAATGCTGTTTGAGGAAATAAAATCATTTTGCTTCGAGAATCATATAAATCCCATAAATATACTCTGGGCACAGTACAGAATTATTGGTGATTAGAACAGATGGGACATAAAATTATCTCGGGTCTTTAAAAGGTTAATGTTTCATGAAATCTGCTTTGTACTATTCTTGTATAAATGTGAAGGATGAATGAGTGAATTAATGCTTTCAGTCTTATATTTTCCCCCTTAAAAACACATCTTTGGTTAGGGTATAAGGAAATGTGTAAAATGAAGATAACATTTTTGTGATTGTATTCAGTAACATTTTGAGTTCTGTGTGAGTTGGATTATAAATAATGCCAAGATTTCTACTGTTAAGAGTTTTTGTTTGGTTATGTAGCACCAATCTATTAATATCTGATTAATCATGACGAGTAGGTCATGAACTATTTTCAAATATACCAGTTTTCACCTGCAGCTGTTAATGAAGGGTTATTTCCACTCGAGATAGCCAAGAATATCCCATTGAATAAGTTACACAGTTGTATTTTTCAGTATTTTTTTCAAAACATTGTAAGTTCTGAGTTTGGCTCAGACTTGTTTGATAAATATGACGTGCGTTTGGTTGCCGCTTATGGAAGCGTTTAAAAACTGTCTTCTGCGTTGTTGTGCTATGTAGTAGGACTTTCCTGATATTTCAGAGCTACTTGCTGCTGTCGTCATCAGGATGATGTTCGTCCAATGATCACGACTCATCACACTTGTGATGGAGGCAGCATGTGCCCTTAACTGTCAGAACTAAAATATTAGCCTGATCTCAAATTATTGCTGTGTAGTAGGACGTTGTAATTTGTGGCTAGGTCTGTCCGTTTCCAGAACTAAATAGCATCTTGGGCACATGAGAGTTCAAAACTCGCTACACCGTGTAGCAGCATCATAATGGCAACATAAATCACTTTATTCTGCTCGTGTGGCTAAAATAGTAATCTCGGCTTTAATTGTGATACTGTTTGAACATTTGCAGTAACTTTCATTTAGAAGACTTTGTTTTGTAACAAAAAAGTTTTGTATCGATTCAACCAGTGGGCAAAATTGGACCTGGTATTCTTTTCTTGTCATATAGGTTGTTATGTAGTAACTTATTTATATCCATGCTGTGTGTGTGTTTGAGAGGGAGAGAGGTGGCCTAAATATCCTATTTCCTTTCAAACGTTTAATTGAAATAAGTGATTCAAGAGTTATTGTCATTGTACTGAGATATAATAAGACCTTAATTGATAGGTGTGCTAATGATAAACATGAATATTTAAGCTCCAGATATTTCAGTTTGAATTGGAAATATTTTAGTACAACTCTCCAGAATTTGCAACGTTCTGGAAACCGAAGTTTTCAAGATCTGGGTTACCAGCTTTGCACATGCCTCAGTTCTAGCCGAAAATATCCATTACGTCATGCCACTCCATTGCGTCATTCCTAGAACATGACGTCATGGCTTCTTAGGCTGTAGTGTCAACAGCTGCTTGGTTAGAGTTGCATGTTGACCAATCTGACGCTACCTGTCTTTTTATTTGTCGCTTTTGTATAACGTTTAGCAAAAAAACTGGCCCAAGAAGGCAGTAATTCGAAAAAAATGTTTTCAAGCTGGGTTGCTTTGATTCCAAAATGTACGTGTATTTTGTACATCGTAGGTTGGTAGAACAGAATTTAGGTCACGTTACCCTACTTGCCGTCCTTGGCCAAAATACGAATGTATATCTGATGATACTTCACATAGAATCACCTACTACCTCTTCGCCCGAGGTCAGTGAAAGGTGTAAAGTGTACATCACTGATAAATCCATCTTACAGGACACCGACAATAAACAACGCTGTTCTTTAAATGATATTCGTTTGTGTTTTTTTTTTATTCTTTCTTTTCGCATTCCTTGGCTTCAGTTTACGCAATCTGCTACCACGGAAATGTGTTGAATAGCTTCGCAGATAAACGCTACCTTGCAGTTGTATGCCCGTCGTATCAAGAACGCGTACAAATGCTGGAATTGTTATGTTTCTTTATAGTTTATTTAACGACGCTTTTCCAGTAGCCCAGACTATAGCGTCGAATGAGAGGATGGTAGGAAGTGGTCGTGGCTTATTTTAAGATTCTATCCCGGTATTTGCCCGCCAGCTTCATCCTCTTATGAGTTTATCTCCCTAATGTTTGGTGAAGGGTGACTTGTGTTAGTAACCAGATAAACATTTTGATGAGTTATGTGTTTATTTTGGTGTATTTGTATGTATCCTTTCGACTTATCAACTATTCTGAAACCGGGCTGCTGCTTTTATTTTGCATATGTTTCTACTTTTTTATTCCCCGCTGATCGTGTTATTAATATTTTAAATATTACTATGCGTGGTTTTGACGTGTGCTGACTCGTAGAAAAATGCCCGGAAAGTTTGCTTTTGTGAGGCATTTGTTTGATGGCGATGGTGTAAGTTGTTACCAAGGCAGAGAATTCAAGGTGGGGTTTGCGTAACTTCCCATTCCACGCACAGGTTCATATCCATATTTAGAATTTACGTTCTTTGTGTGAGGTTGGCTTGCTCGCCATGCATTACGTGGGGCAAGCTACACCACTAACCTTGGCGGTGGTTGAATCGGTTTTACTTCCAGACGCCAACACGTCACGGGGCAAGGGGAGAGCATGAAGCTTTCACAATAAAACATGGCGGCTTTATTAACTGTTTGCAGCGCCTTTTGGGAGCAGCGGAAAAGTTGAGTGCTTCTTTCTAGCGCGAATGCTGTTTATTACGCTGACGTCATTGGTTTCGTATGGAATAACGATGACGTAATCTACAGAAGCATTTGCTATGACGTCCACGCCCTTTTTTTTATAGCTGGCTACAAGCACGGTTGAAAGGACAGCGTATTGCATGGAAAGTGAGCGTGATTGTGGGAAGTATGTTTGGAGGGAGGGTTGGGAGTCCCATGAAGGAATGCCATTCTTTTTTGTTTTCGTTTTCAAGGTTGGAGGTAATGGAACTCCACTTTCGTTCAAATTTAGTTGATATAGAAATGTAAATACAAGCTAAAATAAATGAAGAATGCAGTTCATGTGTTTTGACGCCATCATAAAGACAAATGTTTTCCTGTGATGTCAGTAACCAACCAACAAGGCTATATGGTGTTATAATCGAGAACACCACAATCCACAGTCCACATTTCCACCACTGAAAACCCCAAAACTTGACATATAGTTTTCTTTTATTCTATTTTGGCTTTGATATTTTTATATCAATGTCCATTCCTTATTTTATTATAATGATTGTGTGGTGTTTGCTGTAAGGCTGTTGAAAGTTTAAGAGATTGTTGTAAATTGAGTCAGATTGGGGAAGCCATCTTTGTAAAGTGTTCCTTCTTTACAAGATTAATAATGTGAAAGTTGTTAAAATGCCTGAGGTCAGGTTTTGTATTTCTGTGCACAAAAGATGTGCATGTATCTGTCATCGGAGAAGTTTATTAGAAACTTAGCTTTTCCCCATAACTGCGCTGTATTATCGTGGTTATTTGATATTCATGTGATTGTAGTAGGGCTGTTATGAAACCGAAATATTCTGATATCAGCCAATATATCCTGTCATGATCCAATTCATTCTGGTTCACATCGTCAACTGCTTTCAGTTCATCCCCTTCTTAATTTTTCATTGGTTTATTTTATAGGTTGGACAAGAAGACCAAGGATCTGGGAATTGCAGAGAAGAGTCTATCCATTTATGAGTCTCGGGTGTCAGACCTGAGCGCCAAGTATAACCAGGCAGTAGCAGACCGCAAGAAAGCCACTGACGAAGTGAAAGAGCTGGAAAAGGAATGCGAGAAACTACGCAAACAAGTGGAAGATCTGCGTAAGCACCTGGAAGACGAGACCCTTGCAAGAATAGACCTGGAGAACAACGTGCAAAGCCTCCGAGAAGAACTGCAGTTTAAGGAACAGGTTTACAACCAAGAGCTGACTGAAACTCGCACACGACGTCAGGTGGAGATCAGCGAGATTGACGGACGCCTCACAGAACAGTACGAGGCGAAGATGCAGCAGTCACTTCACGAACTGAGAGATCAATACGAGGCACAAATGAGAGCCAACAGAGATGAAATTGAACTGCTGTATGAGAACAAGGTATAACAAATTTAATTTGCTGCATATTTCAGGATTTACAGTATTATGTTCTCTCTTCTTTCTATGGCGCAACAGCCCGAAGTCGAGCCTTGGCCTCCTCCCATGTCGGAGGTTTCTTTGTCTCTTGAAGCGTCCACTGCCTCTGCACAATTTCTATTCAATCCTGATTTGACTGCTAGAGCCATCTAGTAGTGAATCAGGAGAGACTTGCGTGAGAAATGGCTGCTAAATTTTGCTTATGAATCATCTTTGTTTATGCTCGTAAGGTTCTTTGGTACTCGCGGGTTATCGGGACACATCGCTTTAAAAATGGGTTAGGTTAGTTGTCATTTATTGAAATAAAATGTAATAACTTTCAAATATATGCCATTTATCCGCACACGTTAGAAACCAATCAGAATACGATACAAATTATTTAGGATAAACGATAAAAGAGTGATGTAAGATATAATTTATCAGTAATTTCTGCCATCTGCAGTTTGAGATCGTTTTGTCATTAGCAGTTGGTTCTGATTCTGTACTACGTTCGCTTTCTAGCTTTTGTGTCACGTTAACTAAACTTGTGCAGTGACTGAAAGGTAAACAAATGAAGAGAGGATCGAGGGAGGGGTTTGCGACAAGCTGGAAAATTCAAGGGGTCTGTCACGGCGCAACACGCAAAATGTGCTGGAATTATTTTAAGAGTTAACATGAGTAGGAATATTCACACAAAAAGTACTTTTTCTGTCCTGAATAAAGTATTTAATACATTTTCATTTGTATTTTGTCAAGAAACACTATGTGCTGTCATCGGTAGTCATTTAATAAGTGATTGGTGTTAGTCGTAAAGTTGCCGTCATGTAACCGTTTCTTTTCGTCTTTATTTTGCAGATAAAGAATCTGACCAACCAAGCGCAGAGAAACAGTGGTGCCGCGACCGTAGCCGTAGATGAGCTGCGACAGGCTCGTTCCCGCCTCGACGCGTACAACAGCAAAATCGGTGAATTAGAATCATCCAATGCTGCGCTCTTGGTAAGTGTACATTTGAATTTCCCTTGTCTTGTGTTTTGAAGATAATTTTAATCAGCCAGGCGTGTGCGTCAGAATTAAATCTCTATATTATCCTCAGTCTACGCTGTTTATAAGATAAGTTTTACAGGAGAAATTATGACAAGTTATGTAATCGTTTTACAGATTACAAAATATCATTCAAACTGCTTCAGGGTTGATTAATAAGATCCGTGTCATCCCAACACATTTTGCTCAAGCCATACTCAAACATATGTCATATTTCGTATTTTTAATATTATACTTTATTAATTGGAAGTTCTAAGTAATTTCTGTGGTGTGTGATTTTACCACTCTTCTATTTTGTCTAGATTTTCTTCAGGAAGCTAACTTGTTTAAAAGCAGGTTTCTTGTCCATAAGTAACCCAGTCGACCTTAATCAAAATTTACCACCTCTTAGAGCCGTCAACCCCCCCCAGTAGGAACTTCTAAATTAATAGCCCCATCTTTCTCTAATACAAAATTCAAAATTCCGCCTCTTCTGCCAATTATCGCGCTAACGTCTTCACTCTTACTTTATCCTTAACAGAAGGATGAGCGGGCACTGCCTGGGGACCTTCTAAATATAAGGTGCTCTTTCTCCCGACCTGAAATCGAAGCGTCTCTCACTTCTCCCCCCACCAATTTCCCCCCCCTCCCCCCTCTCAGTAGATCTGGCTTTGGTAAGTTCTTAGATGTACTTGGAATGCGAACCTAGAAATTTCTCAGGTTGTTCAGGGTTATTTTGAAACACGTCCATCCGCACACTAATCAGTACTTAACACGATGTTAAACCGAACCACGTTGTTACGCGATTAAATTTAGCTCCAGATGCTGCTAATACTTTGTGACGAGACTTGTAACTTCTGCCGGGAGCTGGAAAGTGAACTCGCTATTTAAGAGTAGTTCTTCGAGAGATCTGCGTGTGATTTCAGATTCGTGTGCGGGACCTAGAGAAGATGTTGGATCTCGAACGGCAACATCACGCAGAGGAGAGGGCTGCTTTGGAGTTGGAATTGCAGCAACTCCGTGACGAGATGGCGAACCAACTACAAGAATATCAAGATCTTATGGACATCAAGGTGGCACTGGATCTGGAGATCACGGCATACCGCAAGTTGCTCGAGTCCGAGGAGGCGAGGCTTAACATCAGTCCCACGCAATCGCCGAACGTACGTGTCACACGAGGAACACCCGTGAGGAGAACACCAGTACGTGGCGGTAAAAGAAAACGCACGACTTTGGAGGAATCCGAAGAATCGTCGACATCCAATTACCACGTAACTTCTCACGCTAAAGGAGAGATTGAGGTCAGTGATGTCTGCGCTGATGGAAAGTACGTGAAACTTCATAACAAAGGAAGTAAGGTAAGCTCGAAGTTTCAATTAAATCTGTAATTATTAGTAAACATTTACTAGAGCTCTGTCGTAATTTTTTTTTTATCGTGACGGAACGTACGATTTATACGTTTAATAACACGGACATGATTTGGGTAAAAGATGACTTCGACATAACCGCGTACCCCTTCGTTTGTAGTACAGCGTGTGCTTGTAATATTCAGACAGTACAGCATATTATTACGCCACTTTTTATCGCAAGTGTCGCACTACCGCGGGTTACGGAATGAGATTTAAGAATGAAAATAAGCGGGATTTCGGGTTCTCACGGTTATGAGCACGGTGATGAAGATGGCCGTCTTCAGGGTTGTAGCACCGTGTAGTCTGGTAGGCCAATGACTGTCGTTGCTTCGATGATGGAGGCAGCCGGGACGTCTGAGATGTTGGTAAAATTCTACTTGATGCAGATACAACTGAGAAGACAGCCATCATCATCTTCAAAATCAAAAATATTTGCTTATTGATCGTTTAGAATGTAGCGTGAGCAAAGAACAGGTTGTGAATTATTTGTTTTGGCAAGGCGATTACAGGAGGAAAGGCCACAGCACAGAAAAAAAAAACTACTGTGTTCGAGCCGTGACAGTGATTTCTGTACGTAGAAACTGAGCATGATAGAAAATGGCACCACAAAGGCAGAAAATTTGGGTACTTGTGGGTTATCGGGACACATCTCTTTAAAAATAGGTTAGATTAGGTTAATGTGTGTGGATAAATGACATATACTTGAAAGTTATTATATTTTATTTCAATAAATGACAAATTATTATATTTTATTTTGATATGCCTGAGATGTCGCAACCTGTCTCCGGCGGCCAAAATTTGCTTATAGAATCGTTTTAAAAATATCGCAGTTATCATTTGTACGCCGCCACGTGAACTCAGCTAAATATGAATCCAGACGATGTTGGGCCGTGCCTCTCTGTTTTTTATTCCGCCATTTAGCTGATACCCATAGTCCAATCCAAGTCCAGATATTCGACTCTCCCGTTTTGTGTCCCGATAACCAACAAGTACCGAAAATTTGTTTGTTGTGGTGAGGAGATTACTGGTACTTTGGTCACACTTGAAAACTATCCTCAGTTGAGACCTGGCGAGATAAGTTTAGGAAATTAATCCTGAATATCTCCACCGATGCAAGTTTTTTTACTTTTAATTTTATGATACTGTAAAGCTCTGCAGATTGTAGATGGTTTGACAGGTAAGTCCGACTACAAATTTTTTATAACGTACAAGCTGGAGCAGAACATCACTGCTCTCGTCAAGATGGAACAAAAGAGTGTTTTGAAAAACTTCGACAAGCTCAAGGTAAGGGGAGAACATTCCCAAAATCTTTAAATGTCAAGTAAGATTTCTGATTGGCTGATTATTTCATCGTTCAAATGATTTTAATCAACTGTCAATAACGTGATTGATTGATTGATTGATTGTCTATTAAAAATAACCGTGTTGCAAGCAAATTTGATGACTGGAGGCGTGACTAGATGTTTTCATGGCAATTTTTGTATATGTAGGAGGTGGTGTTGAGTGGCTGGCAACTTATTCGTCGAGCCGGAGATCTGGAGACTTCATTCAAGTTTCACCGCAGCGTTAAGATCGAGCCAGGTGCTAATGTCACAGTTTGGTCTTCTGACTTGGGCCAAACTCATGAGCCACCCTACAATATAGTCATGAAGGGTCAGAAATGGTTTGTCGCTGATTCCATGACTACTACCCTTCTCAACAATACTGGCGAAGTAAGTTGAAGTGCTTTTAACTTTCTCCTACGCCAGGCACTTTTAAAAGAACTAGATGTAAATCAGTGGTCCCCAACGCGGTGCCCGCGGGCGCCAAGGCTTTTTTTGGGTGCCCGCGTTGTCACGGAAAGAGGTTATACTGAATAATGAAGGCCGTTCCACCATGAACATTATAAAATCAAAGCGCAGATCTCGACTTACTGACGCCCATCTTTTGCTTTGTTAATTGGTTGGTGCCCGCCACGATCTCATAAACTCTCAAAAAAGGTTGGGGACCACTGATGTAAATTATTGCTTTAGCTCTCAAACACACTCTTGTCTTCTTCATTTCTTGTAGTGACATCTGTTAACTAATGTTTTAATCCTTTGATAAATCATAGGTAATTCTGTTTTCATGTATTAACTCCAGTTCCCATCTCCTTTTTTTTGAGGGGGGGGGGGTGTAGTGGAGTATAACAGAGTGAAGCTTGGGTAAAAGTTTGTCTAAATAGGATCAGGAGACAGTAGGAGGTTAAAGATGACTGTCTTCTGGGTTGTGCCGTCTAGTCTGGTAGAAGTTTTCCGACGTTTCAGAGGTCCTTGCTGCCTCTGTCAGCAGGGCGATGAGTGCAAACTCCTGATTTTTTTTTTATAGAGTAGCCGGGATATTTTAGTAAAATGCCTTGGTATGAACAGGATGGCCAGGATTTGATTTCTGGTGGGGGCAGGATTTTTTGTGTTCGCTGCCATGTCCAGACCAATTCTGGGGCCTGCTCAAGGCTGTCTAGTGGATGCTGAGGTGGAAGGGGGGATTAAGCTTGCTGATTCACAAAGCTGATGACCACTTATTGTAGAGGTCTAAAGCATGCGGATTTACATACATGTTCGTATACTCCTTCATGGTGGTGAAGTTTGGCAGGATAAGCAGCATGGGGTGTCATATGAAGCGGGGAAACGCTTGTGTCCTACGTGAGAGACCGCAATAGAAGCAACACGGCCTTCCTGCGCATGCGTCTTCCTTGTACTGGATGGTCAGAGCTGCCTTTTCCTCATTCACCTTACTGCCCAGCGCAGCGACTCGCTCGAAAATATCAAAATATTTGATCCCTCTCCTGACCGCTTCGCTTTACACATAGGACAGCGCCACACAAACAGCCAGTTTGATATTTCCGCTTCACCCACGCAACTCGCACCGCTCGCATTTAATCGCTCACGTAGGACAGCGGGTAATGGTCTGTGTTCTAGATTCCTGGATGTCATTAATTTACTGTGTCTTTTATTTAGTAGGAAATATACGTTTTTCATCTGTTCTTGATATTCCTCTTTAGGAAATGGCAGTATCTGAACGACGGCGCCAACAGCTTTCCAGTTCATCATCACGCCACAGAGAAGTATCTGGCTTTCTTGCATCACACAGATCCTTGGACATTGGCTCTGAAGATCTGTACCATCAGCAGGTACAGTTTTAGATAATGAGTGACTGAATTTCTGCGTTGGATGGTTTAAAAGGGTCGAGAGGGGTGGCAGATAAGGAAGCGCGTACTGTCCGTACTATAAACATTTCCCAGCGGAAGGACTTCACTTACTTAGGACGGATGATATAGGCAGTGTGTATTAGTATTATCTGTGGCCCATTTTGGTTAGTGGAAGTGTTTCAGTGATGCCTTGCGAGCCTGATACGAGATGTTTTCGCAAGCAAAATTCAGCAGCCATTTCTCACCCAAGTCTCTCCTGATTCACTGCTTCTGTGCTAGATGGCTCTGACAGTCAAATCAGGAATGAGTAGAAATTGTGCAGTCAGTGGGCTGGTCACTCACTACGCATAAATGCACGCTTTAAAGACTATGAAACGTCTGAAAGGAGGCGGCGATGACCCGCTACTGGGATAAGCTACAAATAGAAGTAGAATTGATGCACTGCATTACAAAAAGGGATATTTACATAAAGAGATGTTTTGTGTGTTTCTGTAAACGCAAAAGTCCAGTCTTCATTTCTCATTACAAAATGAGATGGTACAGAAATCCATGTCTCTTGGGTGCCCTTTTGGGAATTTCAAAGTGACGTTGGCAGATAGTGTTGAATTTCCAAGAGTCCAAGTGAAATATGTCTGGGTAGCTACATATTAAAATTTGAAGATTTCTGTCTTCTGGGTTGTTGCGCTGTGTAGTCTGGGTGATCGCCCTGATGACGGAGGCAGTATGACCTCTGAAACGTTGGTTAACATCGACCAGACTACACAGCGCAACAACCCAGAGGACAGAAATCTTCATACTCACCGCTGTAAAAACCTCAAATCTTACATTAAAATTTATTTTTTGTAGTTTCCTTCCCAGATTTGTGTCAAATCTTGGATTTCGTAATGGAATCTCTTTGTGTGTGAGGAGTAAATGTAAACTGTTCTGGTAAGATTCTACGCTGTGGCAGTCGGGAGTGAATCCTTGTCTACTGCGCTGTTATTGCGGGAAAAACACATGTTTTACTGTTCTGTTTTTCTGTTGCAGGGCGATCCCCAAGGAGAAGACCGGTGCAAAATCATGTGAAATTTTAAAATGTAATTGAGAATTTGTGTCCTTGAATGAAACTTCACAAAGAAAATGAACAGCTGGTTGGTGTTTGATTGAATTCAGTGTTCGGTGATGTGGCATGCCATGAGACTGCCAACATTCAAGGTGGTAAGAGTTCTGTATTTTAACAGCAGAGAGTTATGTTGCCTGCCTGTGCATGGTAACGTGCATTGAAGTGGTGCTGCATTCTCTTCAGGACTTTCAAGTGGTTGCACTTGCTACTGATACCACTTTATATTTTATGGAACTTATTCATATCATAAAAATAATGTGAGCTTTTCATATTTCTGTTACCTCTTTTTTTATGTAAGGTTTATTTTGTTACACATTTTCTAGGATCTGATCATCATAATTCGCTTATCGCTTGCACGGCAGGTCTTTCATGAAAGCTTTGTCTAAGGAAATTAGAATAATGGTGAATTAATTTTAGTATGTATGTAGTTCTAGTAGAATTGTAGGGTCTGGTATATTAACAAAAGATTTTGATGCTTCATTAGTAGTAATACATATAATATTCTGGTGTTAATGGAATCATCAATAATTCCACGGGATGTAGACGCGGATATCCTGCATTCAGCGCTGTCCGTTCTCTTCCGAGTTCGTTGCTTATTCTCTTACAGTCATTAGTAATGTATGACTAAGAAATGTATTTAAATCGTGAGCAACTAAAGTTGGCACATTTTTCTTGTTGCTTTTCACTGCCACTTAATAATACATTTTGTTTGAAGGTTTCGTATGTAGGATTTTACTGATCAAAACATGGTTTGCTAATTGAATATCTGTCGGACGTCATTTATTTTTAGGTGCGAAATCTTGGCTTTCATTTTATAAAAAGTCGCTAAATATAAGGTTTGAATTTGTAGAATTTTCCTTTATAGAGTGAATGACTTTTAGTACGTTGCACTGGGGTGTTGTATTAATAGGGTGTATATCGTTAGATGTCACTGACATTAACTGACGAGTAGCCATATTTTTGGTTCCGACTCCCATTAGCATCACACAGAATCTTTAGTGGATCATATCAGAATTCCATTGCAAATCACAGTTCATGGGAACGTAACGTTCAGATTTAGTACGGACATGCACGCGGCATGACTGATACGGTTCTTGTGCACACTATATTTTTTGTGTGAATGAATCAATCAATCAGGAATATATATGAAAACTTTCATCATTTGTTGCATTAAGTCACCTTGTTTCACTGCAGAACAGTTTGCAGTTGAAATAACATGTTTAATTCAAACCTTATATTCTGCCTCTTTTTTTATTATTATTATTACAAAATGGAAAGAAAAGTATTGTCTAAATGAAGCCGTAACGTAAATTACATCCCATCAGCAAAGACTTTCTTAAACATCAATTCCAAGGTTTTACACTTTAAATAAATGATTAAGAGTAGAAAAAACATTTCTCCTTCCTCTCTTTTCAGCTGAGGCTCGTTTCCTTAATTTTCCCTTTAGTGGATGAAACGTCTTTTATTTCGGTAAATAAGATACTTTTTCTTCTGAACAGACTTGATGACTTGCATAGCCCACTTACATGTTACTGGTTTCACTCCCACCCAAATACCCACATCCATCAAAAACTGTGTCAAAGTAAAATTTTATACAAGAAGTCCCCAAGTTACAAACATCTGACTTGCGTACATCCGTGTCATATACATTAATTACCGTAGCTGACTGATGTGTTCGGGAAGGAAAAAATTGACAGTGAATGCACGGTTGCCTAGTTATCGTTGAATAACGTTTAACTGTAGAAGTGTATTTGTACTGAAATAAAATTTTATTTACACATTAATGCATACCTTTACAGCTTATCTATGCGTGACATCATCCGCCGACAGCTTATCTATGTGTTGCGTCACGTACTCAACACACTCACTCTAGAACCGTTCTTTGTTACCAAATAAATGGCCAAAACTCCTAAACCGTAAGAGTTGGCTGAAATCTGTTTGAAAATTTGAAAAGCTCGTGTTTATTTACGTATTTCACTCGCAATATGTCCCGATCTAACTCTTACGCTTTAGACGTGGCAAGCGGTTGAAGTTGAGGAACGAGGGTATAGTTATTACATGTTTTGGGTAATTATTTCAACAATTTATAGAATAAAGTAAACATCATGTAGAGAAAGCCTTTTATTTACTCTTTAATTTGCATATTAGGTTTATATTCTCTATCTTACAAAGGTCTCGAGTTATTGGCGTTTGAAGTTACACACCGGCGTTACCTTACGTCTTACAGTTTCCGTCGAGTGTACCGCGATTTTATAAACGTTATTCAACGTTAAAAATAGTCTGATAATGTAACAGGAAATTTGGACAATCTGATATATTTCATTTAAAAATACATTTTGTAAATCACAGATTTTTTTAGCGAGGTAAAGCATTTTGTTGGTGTGCGGCCAGCGTTACAATGATTTTAACTGAGTATTTATGCTGCTCCTTTCACCGCTGATATGGGATCGGATTGCACGCAGCAAGGCGGAACTGAACCCCTTGGTAAGCATCAGTATTACCCACTAATATTTATATGATTTAGTCATACAGGCGAAGCTTACGAAACTACACGTAGCAGTGGAATATCGGGTCTACACTACGTGTATGAATGGAAAAGCCTCTTGGTAAGGGCTGCGTAAAATATGCGTACAAATAATTTTTTTTTAGTTTTATTATTTGTATGCTTTGTTTCATTATTGGTAATAGAACAGTGTTTTCCATTATTCAATGAAAGTGTATTATATTTCAGCTTAATTGTATGTTAATTAGGCTGTTATAATCTGACCTGGAAATCCAACAGTCACGAGATAGTTTGTGTTGAAAACATATTTCTAAATAGGATTTTGGAATCAGAACGTAACTAGGGGACTTGATACTGCTTGAAAGTAAATGAGTTGATACCTGCATTTGGCATATCACGTATTTCACTTGTGCAGTAGGTAAGTATCAAATTGAAATGTTCGAATTACTGATGGCCGTTATTTGAATGATAATTTTATCAACTACTATAATCAGATCAACCCACTCCACGTGTCTTGAGCTGCTTACCTTATCCAGCATACTCCACTGTATTCGGATGCAGCTGTTTTGTTTATAGATATGTTGATAAAGATAACCTTCACCAGTGACCGATCAGCTTCTTCTTCTTCTTCTATGGCTCTCCAGGCCGTATTCGGTCCATGGCCTCTTCCATTTGGTCCTCTGTTAAGTCCGTCTGTCCGAGGTTTTGAAACGTCTTCCTTTTTACGGTGCAAGGTTGTTAGCTTTGCGACCAACCCCCAACCTGGAGGACCAGGGTACCTGTTTTAGTCTGATCTCTCCCCCCCTCGACCAATCTGGCTAGGCAGGTCCTACCAGTAGCTCTTGGGGTCACTGAGGTACTCGAGCCCCACCACCACGACAAGGTGCAGGTACCATTAAGTGGGGTACCGATAAGCTCCTTGGGCTTTTTATCTGGGTTCGAGGAGAATGCTACAGTAAGTAGGAATGGGTAATGTTCAGACATAACCCATGCATCTTCACAGCATAGTACACAGTAGATTATGGAATTGATCCTACCGATTTATGTTTTTAACCATCGGGTATTTTGCTTAATGTTGGTGCACACAAATTAAAGTCATAAATGTTTATGGGCTATGTAAGCAAAAACTTATTTTACTTCATTTTTGTGTAACTTCCTCTTTGATCAGTGGTTATAATTTGAAGTAATTATTATTGCTGAACTCTTGTTTTCTTAATCACTATTGCCAGTTATTGAAAATAATGTTCACTATTACTGCTTTTATTCTACCAGTTCAGAATTGAATTTAATCAATGGTCATGACAGTTACAGAAATACAAAATAGATTTGCTTTTATACAGACACTGAATTAGAAATAAGTACAGTAGTGAGCATATAGTGTATTGCTATTTCCCATAAGCACAATGTTGTAATTGTGGGTTATGTTCTTGAATGAGTGAAACATAAATCAAGTTTATTGCCTTAAAACACACAAGCCAAAGAAATATTTAGATTATTACAGTTTAACAGAAATGTGTCCTGTAAACAACAATGGGAAAAATAAACATTTTTCTTGCCTTTTTCTTCCTTTATCTTGGCTTAAGTTACGAGTTTGCATTTAATTGATGAGCCAGGTGGGGAGAATATGTTTTTCATTATGAAAGTTCATATGGGCAAAATGTCACATTGCAAATCTTAATAAATGAAAGGTGGACTTTTAGAAGATAGGAAGAAAGTAACTGAAGAAATTGCATGAAACTGTATAGGTCATGTCTAACCTCACCAATGACAAAAGTTGCTGTGTTCAAATGCAACGTTTGCCCTTTCCTGAAAAGACGAGATTCTTTTTCGTTTCCTTTAATACTTTGAAGCAGAGTATTCCTATGCTATTTTTACCATGCTCTTCAAATTGTTAAGAATATTCAGTGCCAGTAGCCATTTTTAAAAATTTCCTTTTTTTGGGTCATGAAAAGTGAACTTTGGCAAGTTCAAATAATAGGCCAAGAATAAGCAACCATTCTTACTATGCTTCTAAGTTATTATATTTTAATTTTGTACAAGACTCCATATATACAGGATGGGTGGGAAGTAAGTAGGCATTGAGAAATGGTTATAACCTCTATATTTCCAATGTATAGCGATTATTTAATGCCTACTTACTTCCCACCCACCCTGTAGTTCATAGTATGAGTGCCTGCAGAAGACTTTAATGTCTGAAGCACCTTGCTGGAAGACTATATATAATACACTAGTTTCACTCTCTATATGACTTCCATTAACTCTTATTACATTCTTGACCCACAAAACTGATGATAGTTAGGGTTATGAAAGGTAATTGCTTCTGTGTTAAGTGAAGATTGTGCTATGAGTGTTGGCAGGCATTTCTAATATGGGTCTACCAGTAATGTGGAGAAGTATTGTTAAGATTTTGTAGGTAGTAGGTGTTTATTACTAGTGTTGTCCTTGTACTACTGACCTGAGTTCATGTACAGGTCTTTTAGCATTATATTATAATAATCATTGGCATTAAGTGTCAGTGGGTTCAGATTCCAGATACCAGGGAAATGTACAATCATGTGGTTGATTCCTAACCCCAAATTTCATATTTTATGTTTCAAGATGAAGGTTATGAGACCGACTAATTATTGTCTGTAATGCCATTATGAGAAGTATAGCAAAAGTGAGATGCAAGGTTTTCATGGCGGTGAAGTCTGATGATGTTATGGGTTGTGTTGCTGTGTAGACTCCGCTACATTTTGTTTTCAGGGTTATGTGTACATGGTCAACCCAAAAGAGCATCATTACAGGAAAACTAAGTATTGCATTGGTATAATTTATGTGAATTTAATTTAATAAATTATATACTTAATGGCATTTGCAGTATATACTTAAGTCTAGTATATTTGAGTACCATTAGGTGTTGTATTGTCATTTTTATGTATTCCTACTGCTAAATAACTGTGTTTCAGGGAACATCGATGTATAACAAACCTAATTTAATAATAAAATAGAATTCTCTGAATTAATGCAGACTCAAAAGTTTCAACAATGTGTTGGGAAACTTTACTGTTCAGAATTTTTAAATGGCATGGATTTTCAAATGAGACTGGCGGTATATCAATTAAGTATGAACATTACCACAGTTTTTAATCAACTTCTCCTGTACTCGTTCGTGCCCTGGTGTGAGTAGGAAACACCTTATTGGCTGCTTTTTCTCTCTACATGATTCAACTCATGAACTGCAGGACAGATATGGATAAAATATGGATTGTGCTGTTGGGGACTGCCCTAAAAATTGTACTTTTCAATCACCTGTAATAAGTAATAGCAACATGACAGCCAAACAAAAGATTAAATTTGATCATTTGTGCTCTAATGTAATCAACTCCCATTGTTGGGATTGGTTGTTGGGTGTAGATTTGTACACAAATAACCTAGGAGGTAAAATGAATTAAGTTAGGTTGTGGTTCAGGTCAAATTGTATTGGAGTTGGGTAAGGCACAGATTAGGTTTTTTAAGGTTGGGGTAAGATTGGCTAGGTTAGGCAACTTGTGTGTGGGATTCATTAGGTGTTACTGGGTCATGTTTGGTTAATTTACATTAGTAAAGGTTAAGATGGTTGGGTTTTGGGGCTGCAGTTCATTTTGTCAAAGGGGTGCCATGATGGGTACAATTGGTATGTTCTGGGAAGAATAAATAGGAAGGAGAGAGTTACACGTGTCCTGAAATGTTGGAAGACTTTTTGAAGATTGGATGTGGTAGCCTGTTGTGGGATGCTATAAAGCAAAGGGAACAAATTTTTAATAAAATAAAGTGGGGATCAGACTGGGTAAGAGAATATTGTTAAAAATTGAGAAGAGAATAATAGACATGCATGGACAGAATAATATGAAAGTTGTGTGAGGTATGAGGAAATTCAAGTTGAGAGTGATCCATGTTCTGTGCAAGGAGTGGAATACATAGGAAAATAACCACAGTAAAGCCACCTACTTACGGGGGTGAGCCCATGATGCTGGCGGAGTCCGAGGATGGCGCTATGTCTTCTGATGGGGCAGAGAGAGTATGAGTGCGCCTGATGAGGAAGGGGGGACCTCAACCCATGTAAAGCCTCAGCAGCAGATTGTGGAAACTCAACCACCTGCTACCAAGCACACTGACTTGTCGCCTTCCACCCACCGAGTCATTCACCTCTTGGGTTTGCCTATGTCTTATGGGGCCTGATTTGAGCTTGGTTGGTTTTACGTTTGCTACGAAAAGTATAGGAAACTATTTCACTCTAGAGGATTGTGTTCTCTCAACAGTCCCCTCCCTTCGAAAGGGAAAGCACGTTTAAGAGATATCCGACAACCGTCTTCCTCTTTACAGCCGGTAATAATGGCTTAACGAGTGGAGGAACGAACAGTAGGGATATACGCTGGAATTTGGGCAGTGAGGACGAAGATGAAAATGCAAATTCGGACCCAACCACCTGTAAGATATTTCCTTCTAGAAATAGAAGCCCTGGCCGAGTCTTCAGGTTCAATTCCAGCGGGTGAAACACCCATCGGAACCGGCACAAATTGAAAACGTGAATGTAGCAATGCCTACGGCCTACCAAATGACTCAACGTTGGTGGGGACAGGTGAAGTCAGGCCTTGCTGAATCTCTCCATCTCGGTTGTTTCCCTGGTTATGTGCGGAAGGTAAATGCCCTTTACCTTGTCGACGCCCATGACACAGATAATAAAGTTATTGCAAGGTACCATACGTTTAACGCTGGTTGTTCAGTCATTTGTCTGATGTGTTCCAATGAAAGGATACTGAAAATATTCCAATAATGCTGCATCCCTGAATTGCGGCTTACGACTATTCTTTATTCTAGTAATCTCCCATGTCTAATCTGAATTGATTTTATCAAACACATTTACTTCAAATTTAAAGGCTTTTATAATGACTTCTGCGGGGACACGATATCATAATAAATTATGGTAGATGCATAACATCGTTTATGACATAACCTTGTTTCAATGCAATGTTTTTATTTTCAAGGCACAGATTAATGAGTTTCACGTATATGTCTCTGTGGTCAGGTCATCAGATCAAGCAGTTTGTTGCTGTGGCTTCTCATGTTCTTTGCACGGATTACAAATATGGCGGGTGTTTTTGCCATTGCTCTCGAGAACTCGGCCAGTGTTGTTACCGTATAGAAAGTGATTTCAGAACAGGCTTATTTTGCAATGACTGCATACAAACGCGTACAGGTAGGCGTTTGGAATTGTTACGTACCAAAATATGCACTCATCCCGAAATTAAATGCTAATTGTTTTTTTAGATGCAGGTGCACATATTACATGTCTTGTACATGTCCAGGAATCATAACCTATACTTTCAAGGTCTACTCTTACAGAAAGTCTTAAAGTGTGTGTATGAAATGCAGGTGAATGTGTAAGATTTCAATGACATGTAGGTGTTGTTAACTTATTTTATACTTTTGTTTTAGCAATGGAATACATTTGCTCGGGTTTGGCATCTCTACGATGCTACATGGCAAAATCCGTTTGAATCTGCTCAGAGAATAATGAAATATCTTAAGGGTTTACACAAGCCAATCTATCATCCTCTCAGTAAGTAAGTCAGAAATATTCAGGATGTTCTTTGGAAGTGGGCCACTTGTTTTATGTAACATAGTATAGTACATAAATGTGACTGAGCAGTGGTTATTTAATATAATTATTAATATATTATAATTAGTATTATTGCTGTGGTGTGAAGTACTCCCCTTCCTTCTGTGTAGTCTGCTGTTTATTGACTGTGTCAACAGAAGATTTGTGTGTGCAGTAAGTGAACATCCAAGACCATTGGTGAACATCAAACCTTGTAAATTAAGAAATTTGTTAGTATACCCATGAAAATATTGCAGTGTGATGAGACAAAGAACAGCCACAGTTATTTCAGTCTGTGTCTGCTAAAGAAGAAGAAGAAGTGTTGTGTGAATATTGTCAGGCACTTCATTAAATAAAATGAGGTGACATTGGGCCTGATAGTTCTTCCCTTTCCCTTTCTAGATGACTGTGGTGATCATGTGGTGGTGATAAATAGTGGGGAAATTGCACTGCTAGGTGATGAGTGGCGGAAACGGGTTTACTTCCATCACACAGGATATCCAGGTGGTGCTACATGGACATTGGCTTGGGAACTTCATGATAAAGATCCTACAATGGTAAGATATCGAGATAGTCAAACCTGATCCTCTTTGTAACATATTTATATATAATTGACTTTAATGTTTCACGTCTGTTGCTAGATCTAACAAGTTATGACATTCCTTAAAGTTTTACACCCATTATGTTTAGATTCTGTGGTGTTATTGTTTATTTAATGGCAGTTTTTGAGTAGCTCAAACTGTATATTGTCAAGTGGGAGGATGATAGTGAATAATGAAATGGAAAAATGTGTGGAAGGAAGCGGTCATGGCCTAATTTAAGGTACTATCCTGGCGTTTGCCCGGCAGGACTGACCATAACCATGACATTCAGTTCTGTGGTGTTATTAATATGACACTACACTCCAACAAACAGTGCAATACCGCTTTGGAAATATTCTAATATTGATGTTCCATTAAGTTTTAGTTTTAGGTATGATACAGTTACCAATGTCCACAACCCCAGAAATATTTGAATCAAGTTCAGTTTTTGTGCGTTTTTATTGATTTAACAACGATACCCTATTTTTAAATGTACAGGTAGCCCTCGATTTGTGCCGATTTTGAAACCAGAAAGTCAAGAAGTGAAAAGAAATATATTTTACTAATATTTATAACGTTTTACAATGTTTCTCGTACTGCATCTTATACCAAATCGTAATTCTTACATCGATGATTTCGAATAAAAATTATAAATATAGTCATCTCGTTAACGCGAATTTGCTCTAGGAATGCATCCCCGGCTTAAATCGAGGGCTACTTGTAAATAGTTAGGTAAATATTTGGTAATTTTTCATAACATTTCTAATGCTACTGGTTGTTTCTGTATACAGATTATGAAGAAAGCCGTTTATAATGTTATGGACGGCAATCTTCAGCGTCGATACACAATGCAAAGGCTTCACATCTACCCTGATGATGATGTTCCTGAAAAGATCAAGCAGAACATTACAAATCAAATCAGACAGTTGCGTCCGGTACCAAAGCGACTTGACCGTTATGCTCCCGAGGAGGTGCAACGGTTTCCGAAGGTCATGGACTGGCCAAAGAATTATATCTTACGTTGATAGCCCGAATCTTTAAGACAGTTTACTTTGTACAGAATTATTGTGAAGTTGCTTTACTTTAAACCAAAAATAAAAATTGTAGGTTATGAATTATGGTATTCCCTATGACGCCATCTTGTCTCCTCTTCCTTTCCCACGTAACTTTGGTGCAGCTGCACCGAAATTGTCGGTTTATAGTTACGCTGGTTGCGGTCTGAGTCCAATTAGGCGAGAAATGAGGGAGGTAAGAATTTTCTTTGTGACGATGACATCGAACCAACTGAGCAAATCGGCCCAGTGGTGATCACGGAGTGCCTGGGTAGATACCAGACGTCCCGACTGAAGATTTTTTTCCCTCTTCATTTTTTTGAATCAGCTCATTGTCCTTTTGTTATTTATTTGTGGTTTGTTCAACGATGTTACCGGTAGCTGAGGTCTTATACAGCGTCAGATAATGGGATTAATGAATAATAAACTGGAAAGGATGTGGAAGGAAGCAGTTGTAGCCCATTTTATCGTCTTATATGATCTGAATGTAAATAAACTGTGAAGTTGATAACAGCATGATTAAATATTCTGTCCATTTAACTGAATCTGTTCAGTGATAAGGGAAAATATGATCAAGAATGATTACTGTAGTATGTAAATGTGTCCCTGTGCCTAAGCACCATTCTAAATAAGGGAATGGAGGTAAAACTCCATGCATTCTTGACCTCGTGTCAGAATCGGATAGGGGTGGGTGGTCAACCTCATGTTTTGGCAGCGTTATGACTTCGAAAGGGTCTCTGGCACTGGGTGTGATCCAGAGCCAGTTTAATCCACTAGAAGTCGCTGTACTGGATAAGCTGTCGAGTGTGTATTTTACAGTTCTCGTTCAATAAGAATTGGGTTTCTGAATTTCCTCCAGAGTTCCTTATATGATGTACCCACGTAAGAGTAAAGAATGTTTTCTGCAGAAGGGATACCAACAGCATTGCTGTATCGCTAAACATCTTGAGTTATATCCAGAATCTTTTTCGTCGTGGGATTGATTTTGAAGTAAAATAAAACCACGCTAGCCTGGACCTTATAAACGCACGTATTGAGTAATCTTGTCAGCTGTACCCAAAAGTATTTTCGGTAAAAAGGAAATTTTATAATCTCGTAAGTAGCTGAAGTATCAGCTTTGATAATCATGCAAGAGTGGCATAGCACGAAAATGAACCTTAAATAATTATTTAATTAATTATTCTACCATGACAATTTTATGTAATTTTTCATCAACATTAAAAATAATTTCTATTGCAAGTAGGTAATATAATTATTATGGTGCTGAAAGATTACTTTAGGTGATGTGGTTAAAGGTTCATTTATATTACATTAGATTACGTTTTGGTGTAACTGTTAACATAAGATACAAATTTGGCGATAAGTGGGTTGTAAATAGAGTTATTTTAGTGCACTCTTAAACAGAATCAAGAATGTGATTTATAATATGTAGAAGTGGTATTTAGGACTTTGCCAGTTGTCCCTATTTCAATGAAATTACCGTTTCTTGAGGCTAGCTTAACCAGGGGTTCCAAAGGCTAGGGTTTTAGCCTTCGATTTTTTTTACCTGAAGATGGAAGTAGATGCAGCGTCCGAAATGTAATTTTATTAAAATACACACTATGGACAAAGTCCTGAATGCCACTTTTGAAGATTCTTGGAAATATTGGCAGAAACTTGAATATAAGTGTAAAGTAGTTCGTGAATATGTTTCAAGGTCAGATTTATTTCAGCGTGTCCAGCGTTGTGCTGTAATTACATAATTTTAGAATTAGATAGGCCCTGTTGTTACTCTGAAAGTAATTTCTTAGGTTATGAACAGATGTCTTTAATGAATTTTCAGTCTTTAAAACCTTCAAGTGTTTTCCATTTCTGATTGCGATTGAACAGTCAGTCTTGAACAGAATTTTCCCAGCACTTAACAAAGAAGTGATGTGCAAAAAAGTTAAGCTTCTTGATTTTCTGACAAATAAGTCATTAAAAGTTTTAAACGAAGGAAAAACCCATTAAACTAAGAAGAGTTTGAAAAACACTGGTAAAAGGTTTGATAATCTCTTAAATAATTCACCGAATGGTTATAAATTGATGAAGCTTGATAAATGTTATAATTAAAAAGCTAACTTTGTGCAGATTGACTTTTAATTCAAATTACAACAAATCATTAAAACTGCCTTTTTATTTATGATTTAATATTACTAAACTAATCGTCTAAAAGACTCGAAAGGCTAAAACGTGTTAAAGTGCAAATTTCACATGCCAGGCACACGACAATCACAAATTCTAATGCTACACTGTAAGGCGCTTGTACAAATACAGACCGTAAATTGAATTTCTGAAAAAGAAAGCCTTGCATTAACTGCCATCTATATTCTTCTTTTATAATCAATTCAGTGGCCGCGATTCGCTTCTGTCTACGGCGTTAAGTTAGCAGGAGATCTCGAATGGAGTGGTGTTCATATCGAGTTTCACGAAAATAGTTAAATTAGTGTCTAAGATATACGAGATGCCCACAATTGAATTAAGGAGAGGACAGAAGAAAGATGTAGATAAATCTGTTTAAAGTTGTGTATTGTTGATCAAATCCTACTTGTATATTGTTGGCATCAAAATCGATTCTCGGCTATTCTGATATTTGTCATGGTTATTTATATCATGAAAATGGGCAAGATATAGAATTGTGAAGACATGTAAAAAATTAAAGTTTAAAATTAAAGTCTCTGTACATATTTCAATGTACGCAAATATAAAAGGCCCATTGCGGAAGATGGTGACGAAAACATGCAACTTAACTTTCTCTATGAAATGTGTAACTTGAAAGTAGTGGAGACATGTAAAGCAAAGGCAGCCAATGTGGAATTGTTTTTTTTAGCGTGTTAATTAGCGCTTGAAGTGTGCAAGTCAGTGAACTACGTCGCAGGATACATTATGCGCATGGCATGTGGGTAGTAACGTCTCGTAGCGGCCGTGCTGTGAACTATGTTCACGATCACTTGTCAGTAGGGCATCTCTGCCGGAGAATGCTACAGGCTAGCGGCCAGTGCGGTTCGTGACAGGTTATTTGTGGGATATTTAAACCACCTGCCGTTCTCCCATGGTCGTCATTGAATTATATTGTAATATTTAAAAAAGTTCGCATATACCAGTGTATTATTAAGCAGTGGATACTGAAGTTTTGTGCGTGTGTGAATGAAAATGAACGTACTTAAAAACATACAACACGTGATATAATATTGCGAAAATAAGGATCAACAAACGTATAATTGTCAAAACATGTTCAGAAATTGACTTTGATTTGTAGTGTTTACCGCCTGATACTTGAATAGGCTTGATAGTTAATTTTTTACACAGAGCTTTGACATAAATTGATTCTAGTATAATCTAGTTTTTGTAGCATGGTGGCTTTTATATTATGATTTCAACGAAACTGACGTGATATACAGATTATCTTTCGAACAACCTAACCTAGAGACCAGTAATACGTGTTTAATAACGTTATATATGCCAAGTGTGTGTTTTATTTGTCGTGTAACATCGTGGTAATTGTTTTAGAGCTACAAAATGTGGAGTAAATAGAAGTGCACAGACACGGTCTATAAAGACAATGGAATCTACTACGCAAGTAAAATTGCTACATTATTAACTTCGAACTTGGAGAAACTTTAGCTGAGAAGAATGTCAAGCTCCATATTGCGATGGTTAACAAGACTTATTTTACATCTTTATATTTGTGGTAAGTACTGCACAAAGTATTTCATTTTAATTGTTATTAATTAATTAATTAGTACTGTTATGAATTTTCAGCAATTACGAGTAGAACTGTCCATTTGTCCCTGTCTTTCGAGCCGTGACTAATTTCTTTGTGTGAAAGGTGCCTTTCTCCTCAGTTAGACCAAAATTGTGTTAGATAAAATGTCATTATTAATAGCTTAATCGTGTTAGTTACTGTTACAATTTCAAGGCTTTAAAATATTCCGCGAGAGATTTGAGTCTTGCAGGGAGTTTAAATTTTATTTAATTTAACATAAATAATTTCGTAAACATATTTTACAGCCTTGAATTTTGCTAAGAGTAAATATTTTACTGTGATTTTTTTAAATCCCGATATTTTTTATAAATTTATAAGACTTGCTAATGAGACGTCATGCGAGTTGCAAAAGTATAACATTTGCTATTTTGATACTAATTAAATAGTATCATAAATCATCGATTACAATAGCGTAGACTCAAATAATAGTGGTCGGGGTTATAATGCTAACGACGTTTCGGTTCGTTTGTTAATTACAACGGAATAAACTTTTATCGTATGACGATTTTTCAAACTGTTTTTGATAAATCTTTTATATTTTCATGAAGGATAGATTTTATTTGAGTTAGAAAATTATAATTCTAAGGTATACTTGAGATGTGTTAGCAATACAAATTATCAGTATAGACTAATAATGAGGAATAATGCACATTGCGAAAACAATTTCGTAATAAAATTGAAATATCGAAGTGAAATCAAATGGGTTTGTTGTAACTCTCATCTCATTTAAAGTTAATTAATTTACTGTTCAGACTTATACATATTTTAATGCCAGATTAATTATGATTATTCGTGGTTTGTTTATTGTTTAACATTGCTGACAACTTCTGCGACTATGCAGTCTCTAATGGGGTATGTTAGGAATACTCAAATTAATCGTGACGTATGTCTGGCCCAAATTAAGGCAATATTATCGCATTTTGTCGAGGAACTGACAGGTCTCGATCGGTATTCATGTTTTGCTGATAATTATAATCGGATGCATTATCACAATGCTAACACGCTTAATCGGTTTTGAGATGATGAAATGTTGTGGACAACAGTGACAATGAGTTAATATCCACGATTTACACGTAGAATATGTGCAAGCTTAGCGGTAGAAATGTTCATAGCGCATACTAGGTATTGCACTGCTTTTTATATGTGTCCTGTATCCTTCCGCGTCAGTGAACAAACTAGAGCATTGTGTATAAACATCAAAGTTTTGTAAAGCAGCTCGTAACATAACCTCAACTCATAGGCCTGCGTGTTTCTTATATATTGGACGAGTTACAGAGAACTTTGGTCGGTATTATAATTATCGTCATTTGCAGGCAAAGAATGAAAGTGGTTTATTCCCCTAAGGCACAATGGCGACCTTGTACAGCCTGCGGTAACTGAGCATTTTGCCGACAGAGTGCATTTATGATATTTGTATGATCCTCAGAGTTTACAGCGACAGTTTACCGACTGATTTTTTTATAATGGAGAAGTGTTCTCTTTGAGGTAGGAACTGAAATTTTAACTGTTACAAGGACGAGTTTTTGCGTCAATGGGATTTTTGGGCGAAGTATAAACTCGTAAATTAATTAAACACTGTGCGTTTTAATTGGTATTATATTTTTGATGTAGGTGTCATTTGTTGATGAAAGCAGTCATGTGATCACGACTTTTAAGTAATCGTCCGCAATATGTGTTTTTTTAGACTCGAGATTTATTTTATAAGAGCTGACTGAAGTGGTAATATAGCAGATTAATCCGCGCTGAAAAGCGTTTTTCAAACATACGAACTGAAAATTGATATTTATCCTGCAGAATTAAACATTTTCAAGCTATTTCTACATCACCGCGTGTGGTCAGAGTAGTTAAATGATTGCTGTAGACTCGAAAGCTTTGCGTTTTAACGATTCTGACCAGAAATCTGGAATATTATACAGTGGGATAAGTCGATTTTGCACATTATAGAGCTTTTGCATTGGAGGATGAAGTGTAATTCGGATTTGAAATACAGTGAATGCGATAAGACAGGGGAACAGAGCAAAACGTGACTTACAGATAACTTGTTTTTATAAGGTCCGTTGGTAGCTCGGTGTATAATAGAACCAAACTGTGCACCTATTGTCATGTGTATTGTGTAAAGCTCCCGATATTCTTCTTTTTAGCTGTTTTATGACTAACTTTTGAGTACACTTTATCCTTTACGTGTCCCAAAAATGAAGTCTAATGGTCTGAGGTCGGCGAAAGCCAGGAAATGTAACGTACCCAACTTAACTGTTACTGTTTGTTGTGTATCTTTTCGAAGAGTCGGACGTATAATATCATTTGAGTGTCCTCTATGTCTTCATTAGGTTTCAGGTAAGTATAAATTACGAGGATGTGGGAACGTCCCCTGGCATAACACGTATAGAGGTTCGTGAAAATCGTCAAACTGGTTCTTGTCCATGAATTAAGAGTCGGTAACGAGAGAGTGCAATTAACTCACGAGGTTCTGCAGTTAATTTTAAATTTAATTCATTTATTTAAGTGCTTGACAACAGCCAAGCACTAACAACAGTAAAGTATAAAATATAATAAAAATAAAAGTAAACATTACAAATACAAAAACAAATAAACAATGAACTAAATATATAAATGTACAGTATTAATGATAATAATTCAATTTAAATTAATTTATTTCATAATAATTAATAAGTAAATGGACTAAAAATAATAATTAAATTAAAATCAGTTAAATTTTAAACAAAACACAGATAACATACAAAATAAAATATTATACTAAATAAACAATAAAAGAACAATTATTATTGTTTAAAAAGCTGACTGACATCAGTATGCAAAACACGATCTTTGTTAAAGATGTCGATGCTCTTACAGACTGCATTGGCACCAGAAACATCTGGCAGAGGGACTGACCTTGAAATTACGTTGTACGGTCTCTGATAGACCTAGTGGGTATACGGAGACTAGCTGTATCAGAAATAGACGAGGAACTAATGACAACAATAATAACGAGGAAAAGCGCATCCAGAAGCCTCCTCCTTAAATGTAACGATAAGAAATTTAATATGACTAAAATATCGTCAAAATTATAGGCACACACGCCTCACTGTTAATATAATTTTTATATTTGTATTTCTAAACACATTTCAGAAGACGATGCTCAATTTAGCATGTTTACCATTGTTGGCAACAATTGAAATTGCAACAACAACAGATATCATTGTTGTCCGTTGCCTCGCAACACTAAAATTAATACTGGCCGAGTTTACTTCAATCGACAGACATTTAGCAGTCATGGATCAATTAACAGAGCTAGAGAAGATCCAAATGCAGCGTTTCTTAAAAGAGGAAGCCAAGGAAAGAGAAATGTTGGAACGAAGCAAGAGAATGTAAGAATATATTTAAGAGAATTTAGGATTTTAAGGTTTTCACGGCGGAGTCTGAAGATTTCTTGTCTTCTGGGTTGTTTCAGAGGTCATACTGCCTCCGTCATCAGGGGGGGGTTAATGAGTTAAAGAGAACATTATCATTATTGACAAAGCGTGTTAAGGAACGTGGGTTTTGTGGCACACGCCGTGTGTACTTTCAAAATAACTCTTCCTGTCTGATACCTGACAGCAGTCTCAACAATTTGTTTCTATTTCCGTGGTTTCGTGTCTCCAGCTCTTATCAGGCCTTAGCAAAGTTTTCATTTTCGAGGGATGCAGAATTAATTAATAATAATAACTACTTAATATATGAAACCACTTCTTTAACTTAAAAATCATTACCGGTATTCATTTTAAAACAGACATTACCTGAATTTTTCCACACAAATTAATTAATAAAAACCTTTTAAAACGTCTCAGATGCAATGTTTTTATAAAATAATTAAATATAACTTGACATCCTAGAAATAAAATCGAAAATGTCACTTAATATGTATTTAAATAAATATTTCTCAGATACACCGGTAGGACGAAGTCCTTGATGAGTGCCTTCGCTTAATTCCACTTACCGCAACCTCTGTAGTTTGCTGTGTGGGCGTCCCCGCAGGCCACGCACTTGGGTGCATGTGCCCGAAGCGTTGACACCGCTTGCATTGCATTGCCCCCTTCGGTGCGACGTACGTCTCCATCTTGACCCGCAGACCGCAGATATCGGTGAGAGCACGTACCCTCGCCACGTCGGGGCCCCGTGTAACAGACACTATAAAGTGCGGCGTAAGGGGACGGTCCCTGTCCTGGTCCATGTCCCGCCGCCGAGATCAGAGTTGCGTGACCCCCTGCACGTTGATGTGTATGGCGATCATCTCCTCGCGGATCTCAGCCTCGGGCATGCGCGCACTCAGGTTTTTAATCAAGAGTCGCACGCACTGATCCTCGGGGAGGGAGAATGTGTGGAGACTCACAAACTCGCCCTCTCCGAGGGATCGCAGGACCCTGACAGTGGCCCTGAACCCTTCGGAGGTCTCGGGCACCTGAGTCACCAGGTTGCCCATCATCTGGGCCAAGATCCAGCAGGCCGACTCCGCGCGAATCCTCCGCAGGAAGCTGCTGATGTTCTTCACCCCGGAGACGTACACCGGGGTTTTATTCCGGCCCTCCCAAGGAACCGGTTTGTCCACTTGGGCGCGAGCAGTGGTGTCAGCTGAGAGGCCCGGACACGTCTCCGGGAGACGTGCGCCTAGATGCTACGTCCGTCGAGGTAACGGGTCCCGGCTGGGACCCGGGTCCGGACATTAGCCCGGGCGCCAGGCGCCTAGTGGCAGGTTCCAGCGAACCGCCTGAGTTGGACGAGTCGTTGGTTTTATGCTTGTCCGATCCAGCTAGCCCCACAATCCACCTGCGGGGGTGTCACCGCCCCCGGAGAAATCAGCCTCGGCTGCCTTTCTGCCCTATGTTGGGACGACCTTCAACCGCATAAGCAGTCTATTGGCCAAGCACAACATCAAATCTATTGGTCCTCCGCCGAAGAAGGTTCCCAGTTTTGTCCGGCCGGTCAAGGACGATCTATTGCTGTAGACGCCTGGCGTATACAATTTGCCCTGCGAGTGCGACAAATTGGTGTAAAATAAGGAACTCGTAAAGATCCACAAGTTTCATTTGGGAAATTCTTTGTCTTATATATTTGATAGAAAAGAAAAACATTGTATTCCCACAGATTCAACATCCGCACTTTTGATTAGCTTCATCAGCAATGGAATTTGTGAATCTGTAACACGTGGTATTTGTACCACTGTTTAGCTTATCAAGAGTTGAAATGTATCGTGATTAAGTGAATATCAAGACGAGTGAACAATCCAAATCACAGAGAATGTTTGTATTCCAAATTAGACTACAGTTTTCCTTTCCTGTCAAATTCATACTCTGGTAAAGCAGCACTTACAAGGTGTTAATGTTACATAATGAGAGTGGGTATTTGTACATAATAACATAAACATGAAAATAGGACTTGGCTATGTAGACAGTACAAGTACTCCATTTTATTATACCCTCTTGCATGTAGTATCCTGTCTGAGCATCAATTAGACGGCTGTACTCCTGGCAACTCTATTGTTATTGGTAATATCACGTAGGTCGGAATTTACTTACCTATTAACACCACGGTTAAGAACATTAGGGGTGTGATCACATTTCTGTTAGTATATAAACAATCAAGAAACGTCTTCTTCATTCCTGAAACACAAAGAACTTTGTATCAGTACTGAGAATTATGGGGTCCCACGCCATAGCCTCGCGGTCTGAGGCTTCGGACCGGTGATACGGAATGCGGGCTGGTTCGAGTCTCGGGGAAAGAAATTTCTCATGAGCTTTCGACCGTGTATGGGGGCGGTGCCAACCCAGCATTGTGAGGAAATTGGGGAGCTACAATAAGTAGCGTAATCCGGTCATGAAAACTAGCAGTGGCTGGGGGTTCGTCGTGCTGACCACACGTCACCCTGTATCTGGTTGGATGATCGTAAACGTGAGGCCAGCAGTCAAGCTAGTCGGCTTTGGCCCTCAGAGGGCTGTTACGCCACGGATTATTATTATTATTATTACTGAGAATTATTAAGGGCATATTTTTTTAGCCTTGTCTACTTTATTGGATAAAAATGTATATGATTTCATTTGTCTTTGGCATTTGGTATTAGCAAAACGTATGTTCTTGAGGTACGACGTTAACTGCATGGCAAGATTCTGTTAAAAATTTCTTTTAAGAGCGGGTAAGTGGACTGAACTTACCAGTTTTATAGAATTTTGTTATATTTGGTTCATGTAATGAACATAATTTATCTAATTTTGATTAAATATAAGGAATTTTCAACAATAAGCAACTGGAAATTAAATTTACCTTGCAAATACTTCTTTATTCTCATTCCAGAAGATACTGATGCCTGTCCTTCGCTATCATCAGAGTCAGAGTCAAAGTCAGAGTCAGATGTATTATCAGAAATATCCAATTCAGAATCTTGTTCCACATCGTGATATTGAGTTTCATCACCAGCTGGGTGTTCCTGATCTCGCACATTACCCATTGTACTCAAAATTATTTTTCTGTTAATCTAGACTTTGCAAGGTCTATGCTTCTTCTGACTGCAACACAACAAATATTTGTTGTTTATTTATTATGCCTAGCAACGGGCCACATTATCAAAAATGGGCAAGACCAACAATACGAGTTGGAGCTTGCCTCAGTGATTAGCCGATATTTTGCCCCTGACCATGATGGAACAAATAATATTTTAGAATATCCTACAAGCGGCGATAACAAAATGACATATGATTAAAGACAGGAAGTAAATATATAGTAGAAATATTGAAGGCGACTGAGCTGCTGTGATCTGGTGGCCATGTAGGCACTGAGGGGGAGAGAAGGTATAGCTCCAACTCTATTGTTATTGGTAATATCACGTAGGTCGGAATTTACTTACCTATTAACACCACGGTTAAGAACATTAGGGGTGTGATCACATTTCTGTTAGTATATAAACAATCAAGAAACGTCTTCTTCATTCCTGAAACACAAAGAACTTTGTATCAGTACTGAGAATTATGGGGTCCCACGCCATAGCCTCGCGGTCTGAGGCTTCGGACCGGTGATACGGAATGCGGGCTGGTTCGAGTCTCGGGGAAAGAAATTTCTCATGAGCTTTCGACCGTGTATGGGGGCGGTGCCAACCCAGCATTGTGAGGAAATTGGGGAGCTACAATAAGTAGCGTAATCCGGTCATGAAAACTAGCAGTGGCTGGGGGTTCGTCATGCTGACCACGCGTCACCCTATATCTGGTTGGATGATCGTTCACCTCTGCTTAGGCATGTGAACTTGAGGCCAGCAGCCAGCTAGTCTGCTTTGGCTCTCAGAGGGCTGTTACGCCACGGATTATTATTATTAGTTAATTCCAAAGTACAAACATGACATTATGAATTAAGGTATTGTCACCAGGTCGTAATGAAAAGGGACAACTTGGCGTTGGTGACACAAAGCGCAGAGATGTGCCGACTCTCATTGAAGCTCTGAAAGATCATATTGTCGTTGGAGCAGCTTGTGGGAAGAACCATACTCTGCTTTTGACAGGTAAGTCTCTTCATTTTGAATGCCTCATAAGAATGCTGTCTCTCAGCTTTGCCATATCCTGGTTACTACTGTTTTTATCTCATATTTTAGAGACTGGTAATATTTAATAAAGGCAGTTGTTTGCTGCTGTTGGTGCAGAGAGGTGTTGAGCTACAAGTTGTGGCATTGCAAAACTGTATACATGAACATGCAATTAGTTGTTATTACTACTGCTAAATAATTAATACAAATTTTTGCTGTAAACACAATATAAATACTACAACCATCTTTATCCCTGAATTCTTCCGAAGCAGATTCCCTCAGATGTATAAAGTGAAACTTTTGCGGCCACTGAAGTTGATGAAAGATTCTTGGGTTACAAGCCACATCAGGTGGCTGAATGGTGAATAAACCATATCTTCTGCCAATGTTTCAAGAGCAATCTCTGCTCTCATCCTCAGAGCTGTTGCTCTACAAAAGGGCCAGATTTGTTACGCAGCAGCCGTAAGGATGAGAGCATAGATTTCTCTCGAAACATTGGCAGAAGATATGATTTATTCACCATTCAGCCACTTGATGCGGCTTGTAACCCAAGAGTCCTTTACTAGATTCCCTCAGGTTTACTACATTTAATTCTAGTGTTCCATCTCTGCCAGTCTTTCTTTTGAAATATTCCTGTAAGTTTTTGGCATGTCTTACACAGTTCATCCATGCTGTTACCAGTTTTGAGGATGTTAGTCTTATACATAATTTTGACCATGTAGGCTCATGAAAGTTCTGTTGACAGTGGTACAGAGGTATTCACAGCACTGTGTGACCATGTTTCCTGGTAACAGAATTCAGTTCATAATTTTTGTGCTGTGTCTTACGTTTTAACTAACTGTAGGTACTTTGTGCCTGTTCGTGAGGCTGAATGTGGAATGTCTCTGTTCGTTAGCCATGTCATTATATCACCTTTTTTGTGTTTGTGTCCAAAGTTTCATCTAGCATACTTGTGTGGATGTGGATAGTGTCCATTACAGTGACTGACTCTCATTTCCATGACATGGTTCTTTGTTGTGGGAAATTCTTCCCTAGTGTAAATATAAAGAATTGTACACTGCAACACATTTTTACTGCAGTCTCATAACTCACTCTGTTTTCTTGTACTCATGATGGGGACTGAATTTTCATTGTTTCATTTGTATTATGTGAAGATTTTGTCACAGTTCTTTGTATGGTTTGAATTCCAGCACCACGTGATTCGTCTGTTCACTCCTGACACTTGGAAACATTTTGAGCTGAGTTTATGTTTTGTGCTTAGAAACCACCGAAATGTTGGTACTAGAGGAAAATTCCTCTTCGACTCTCTGGTATCGAACCCCTGTCGTCCAGTCCATGGACAGTCACTATACTGACTGAGCTAAGCCAGCTCATACATTTATATATTTTTTGCAGTGTATCCACAGATTAAATCTTAAAAACCGATGATAACAAAATGTCTGAATAATTCCTATGAAATGTGTATATTGGATTGTTTTCAAAGCTTTTCAATTACACAGAATATCTTGTCTACGACGCACTTCTTCCACAAG